GTAGATCAAATTTACCTTGTTTTAAACTTTTACATTACTTCAGTTACTTCCTGGTTTTCCATGCCTAGGCAAATGATGTCGATAACATCCCAGAGTCTTCAGAGGGGCGGGAAGGTTCTCAGCTCAGCCAATGACTGGCATAGGCAGATGATTCCAGAAGTAACTTGACTTAATATGGCCTCTGCCAGAATGCCGTGGGGTATTTCTCAATAATTATTTCTCAAAATAAAGCACGAGACATGGATGGATTGGTATTTTGCCTTTGAAATAATAACAATGAATTAAAATAGCACTTTTGGTTTGTGGTGCTCAGATAAAAATGTAATACATATATTGTTTTTTAAGGACAACCAAGTTTTCTTTTTGTGAATATTGTCATGCAACAAGATTTTTTTTTTTTTTTTATTTTTATTTTTTTTTGGAAGCCTTAAAAAATTAAAATATAGCAAAATGCACTTTTTCTTTATTTGAGCAGTGATAGTTTTAAAAATAATTTTGTTAATGCACATACAAATACACATTTTTATTTGAAATAAATTTGTCCTGTTTAAAAATGACACAAAAAAAAGGAAATCCATCACATTTGACATTTACGAAGAATATAAACAAAATAGTGTACAGTAATTAGGAAATCAAGGCACCTTAGATTGTACGCTCCTTGAGGGTTAGGGACTGATTGTGAATATAACAATATATATATGTACAGCACTGCGTAAATTGATGGCGCTATATAAGTACCTGTAATAAAATAAAGATAAAATAAGGCCACACATTTTAAAGTGAAAGACAGGTTGTGAAATATGGTAGGCCCTTTATGTTTCAATATTTTTAATAAGTTTTTCAGAGATAAACAGGAAAAACAGGGAAATGAGATATGGTTTTCATTCATACAATATTGCAATAGACAAAATATAGTTGAGCATTTTTGTTGTGATTCCGCCCATTGACTGATGAGGAGTTGGTCTTGTTTAGCAATATCATCATAGGTATTCGTGTGCATATGTAAATGAACCTTGGTGAGGAGTTGGGGTGTTAGGGGGGTTTTGGTGGAGAGGTGGGGGAGGATAGGATTTGGATGGTAGGCCCTTTACAAGGTTATTTTGAGTTAGTGACTGGGGACAACGAGAAGGCAATGTATTATATACTGTCTTTGGATCTGTGTATACAAAAGAAATGGTGGAGTTCAAATTCATAATGGGGATAGTATTAACATAGAACCAAAAGAATCACAATGGCTTAAAACTGAATATGGTCCCAGAAACATTTAGACAAAAAAGAGTGAATAAAGCACCTTGACCAGAAGGCATCCACCCACATGTTGTCAGAAAGTTGAGCTCTGTTTGTTTAAAAGCCATTGTTTTTCATTTTTAGAGTCTTTATTGATTTTCTCAGTGCCTTTAGAATGGCCAAAGAGCCAATGCGATTCCTATATATAAAAAGGATCCTACTGTTGAACCAGATGAAATGTTGAGTAGTGGGTGGAACAGTTATTACACCTACTGCCAAGACAGTCCTTTCAATATGCAAATCAAAGGAACCAGTCAGATGATAATCCTTGGTCGATCATTGACTGAAGCAAATGCAGTCATTATTTGGCAGTGCCCACTGTACTCTGGCAGTCAGTGGCAGTACAAAGAAAAAGTAAAGGGCTCATGTACACAGGCATTTGAAGAACTTTTCTGAATGCTGGAAACTGACTGCTAGAAGACGTGGGTTAAAAATGGCAGTTTAGCTGCATTTACCTACCGCATTTAGCCGTGTTTACGCACTTTTGCCTTAGAAGCATTTTTTAAAAGATAACCTTAGGAGACCCTCCCAAATGCCCAAAATGCACTGAAAAAATAGTAAATAATTAACTATTTCAGACATTTTGGGAGAAATAGAGAAACAGAAGCAGAGAGAGCACTACTTTCTGATGGGTGTTGCAAACTGTAGCTAAAAAAGTGGCTGGTGAACCATGCTTGGGACTGTGGGATGAGCTACATAGTGCTGTAATGCCTGTAATGCCTCAGGATGCATTCTGGAGTGCACACAACACTCCTTGTGTTTGTTGCTGTGTTTTAATGTGTTCCAGTACAGTTCTGTGCAGAAAATAATGCAGCACGGTCTAACCATTTTTTTCCTGCACACGAAACCTGGAACGATTGACTGCAAACTGGTGGTACTAGGTTCATTTGAATACATGAAAATGCATTCTAATGAAGAAAAAAGGCTCTGGACAGCATCTGGATATTGGACCAGCCCAAGAACGCGTCTAAACGCAAACACCCATGAAACGCTGGTAAACTCTACTCCTAACGAGAATTTTTTGTGCTTTCAAAAAAGTGCCTGTAATCTCAACTGCCTGTAAACGACTATGTGTACATGGACACATAGGAAAACATAAAGGGAGTTCAGCTCCTGAACTTCAGTTTAGCAGCTGCAGTGTACATGAGCCCTAAGCCTTTTAAATTAAAAAAGTATCCAATGATGTAAGAGGAAAAGGGGAAGAAAAAAGAAAAAATACATAAAACGTTTTCATGGATGAAGGTCTGCTTTAAGAATATAAAAATAATTTGATGTTCATAGTCTCATCACACATAAAGAGATCAGGTTACCAGCGAAATGAAAATTGCAGTAAAAGCAAAGAAAAATGAAGTATTTTACATGCATATATGCAGCATTTCCCCTTTTACCTCTGAACTTACTAAAAAAAAGTGACTACTTCAGAATAGTCAATTTCTGTAGCACAGCCCCCTCTCCTCTTACACATCAAAGCCCTCTCCACTTCTGAGAGTGGCCAATCTGTGTCTGTGGTTAAAAGCTCCTCTACATAAACTTTTATGTAGCAGTCAGGGGAAGGCGCAAAGAGGAATGCTATAGAGCAGGGGTCTCCAAACTTTTCAAACAAAGGGCCAGTTTACTGTCCTGCAGACTTAGGAGGCTGTGGATGTGCCCAGTGGGGGTAAAAATGTCCTGGGCCCAGCATCAGTGTAAAATAAACATTGCCTCAGGGTGGTGGGTCAGTAGGAGAAAGAGTAGCGCCCCATCATTGGTGTCAGTGGGAGGAATATGCCCCATCAATTGTATCAGTGGGAGGAATAGTGATCCCATCATTGGTGTCAGTGGAGGAATAGTGGTGCCTCATCGCTTGTATCAGTGGGTGGAATAGTGTCCCATCATTGGTGTCAGTGGAGGAATAGTGCCCCATCACTGGTATCAGTGCTAGGAATAGTGCCCCACCATTGGTGTCAGTGGGAGGATAGTGCCTCATCGTTGGTGTCAGTGGGAGGAAAAGTGCCCCATCGTTGGTGTCAGTGGGAGGAATAGTGTCCCATCGTTGGTGTCAGTGGGAGGAATAGTGGTGCCTCATCGCTTGTATCATTGGTGAATAGTGTCCCCATCATTGGTGTCAGGTGGGAGGAATAGTGCCCCCATCACTGGTATCAGTGCTAGGAATAGTGCCCCATCATTGGTGTTAGTGGGAGGAATAGTGCCTCATCGTTGGTGTCATTGGGAGGAATAGTGCCCCATTGTTGGTGTCAGTGGAGAATAGTGTCCCATCGTTGTGTCAGTGGGAGGAATAGTGCCCCATCTTGGTATCAGTGGGAGAAATATAGTGCCCCATCGTTGATATCAGTGGGAGGAATAGTGCCCCATTGTTGGTATCAGTGGGGGAATAGCGCACCAATCGTTGGTGTCAGTGGGAGAAATAGTTTCCCCATCATTGGTGTCAGCGGGAGGAATAGTGCCCCATTTTTGGTGTCCAGAGGGAGGAATAGTGGCCCCAAGGCCAGATAAAGCTAGTAAAGGGCCTCATCCGGCCCTCGGCCGCAGTTTGGAGACCACTGCTATAGAGTGTCACTTAAAGGACAGATCTGAGCCTGCTGACATCCAAGATGTCAGCGCAGAGCAGAAGTCTCAGGATTTTTGGATGTCTACACAAGGGAGGCTTTTTATAGGTAAATAACAAGCCTGAAATATGATAAATGCACATTTAATCCCATGGGAAGATTGCTGTTGAAACGAAATAGTCAGGTAAATGGGTCTGTTTTAAGAATATGAAAATATTTGATTATACATAGCTTGACCACAGTTGTATTTCAAAGTTCAACTTCACCCAAAAAGATATTTTCAGATTTGAGTGGTTGGTCTCATTTTGTCCTTTTACATTTTTGCTGTGATGCAAGAGAAGACATTTCCACCTGAATTCTCCATTCCACCCTTCCAACTGTCATAATTATTACAAAGTCAAAATATTTTCATACTCTGAATTGATAGAATTTCCAGATGTTCAATATGTAAATAAATGGGAAGCATGACACCTTTGTTCTGGCAGTATGGGAGAAATCTCATAATTGGGATCCCCAACCAATGAGGTAGGTGACTCAAATGGCAAAATTAAAATTTCACTGGTTGGATTGATTTGGCCTGTAATATTTCTACATTTTGTGTGCTGAAAATGACAAGGCCAGTGTCCTGTAGAATCATTACATCTACATTGTGAAGCTACTGGTTTCTATTGTTGCAGGGTGTGCTGAAACGTCGGCTTGTTCCACGGTGTCTAATGTCACTTGCTCTAGAGGTGCATCCAAAATTCTTCAGCATGAGCAATATGTCCTTTCTGAATTTAACACCCACAAATGCATAGAGGATTGGGTTGATGCAGCAACGAGTGAATGCCAGATTGCTGGTGATGATGATGGCAATATTACGTTTTCTTACTTCACAGCTCATCTGCATACTTCCTATGAAGTCGGTGGTCTCCATGAAAGTGACCAATGTGTAAGGGAGTTGGAAGACCACAAAGACTAGCACAATGGAGATGATGACCTTCATGGCTTTGTGTTTCTTAAAACATCTACAAGAAAATAGGGTCTTGATAATAGAAAAGTAGCATACAATCATCACACAGAAAGGTAAAATGAAGCCAAGGACAATCTGAAAGAAGTTACAGATACTCTTCATTGTACTGGTTTCTTCTTCTGGAAAGATCATTTTGCAGATTTCTGAACCATCTAGATTTTGTGACTTACTGTACTTGAATTCAGGAATGCTAAGCAAGACTGATAATATCCAGACAACAAAGGAGATGCATTGGCTGTGACAGATGGACATTTGCCGCCTTGTGTGAGCCTCCACAGCCAGGACAATTTCATGATAACGGTCCACACTGATGCAAGTTAGGAACAAGAATCCGCTAAAGAAGTTAATGGCGAACACACCTTGTACAAGCTTACACATCGTATTGTCAAACATCCAGCCATTAATAGCGCTGGTTATCCAAAATGGAAGTGTCATGAGCTGAAGGAGGTCGGCTATGGCCAGGTTAATAAGATAGATGTCAGTCTTAGATTTAACCTTACGGGAGAATCCATATGTAAGGAGGACCAAGGTATTGCCACACACGCCAATCAATAATACAAGTATTTGAATAAATGGTTGAAAGATTCTGCTGAATTCTGTAATGCCACTGACTTCACAGATCTCCGGAATTTCATAGTCAGATGAAACATAGTCACCTGTTGTAACCCGGGGGCTGTCAGAAAACTGTAAGAGAAAAAAGAAATTAGGAGTTGTTCCAGGCATAGCTTGTTTTTGTATTCTAACCTAAACAGATTTCTTTTACCTTCTTTCAGTTACAACAAAGAGATTTTAACTTCTCCAACCAATGTAACCCAGTTATATCCATCCTTGTCTTAGATTCATTTAAAACAGTCCCAAAACCTCAAGAGCAGGAGTATGGCTGAGAACACACACACATACTTACTTCAATACATCAGCATTGGTCTCAGTGTTGCCAACCGTTCATGTTTTAGGGACTGCCAGTAAAAACCAGTCACTTTTCTCCTGCCCTAAATACCGTGACAGGGAAAGCATGTCAGTGAAAAATATGGCTGTGCGCTCGGCTCAGAACTGCACATGCACGCCATCCAAGATCATCCATGTGCACTCTCTGCTACTGTGTGTGTTTCGAGCAGTTAGGGGGCCAGGTCTGGTGCAGGCGGTGGACTGAGCATGAGTGCTGAGTGTCAGCCTGTGATGTCATCACAGGCTGACATTCAGCATGTGATGACATCACATTCTGACACTCAGCATGTGATGTCATCTGTCATAGAGCACAAGCCTTGTGTGCGACAATGAGGGACAGTCATGGATGAGAGCAAAGGCAAGTCAGGAGCGGGGGACTGTCTGTCTGTCACGCTGTTCTGGACTTTGGAGGGACCACCTGGACCTGACTTGGGAGTGGAAGACTGGAGGAGAGAGACTGACTGTCACTGGGGAGGAGGAGGGTATGTGTCTGTGTGTCGCTTGTGGTAATGGTGAGCATCTGGTGAGGTCAGGTGTCATCATCCCTGTGGTGCTGCTGCACGTCAGTGTCACTGAGTCTGGTAGTCAATTTCATGTGTGTGCCACTGCTTGCCTACCCATTCATTTCTTGCCCTTCTATCTGTCCCTGAGCTGGTAAGTGGGGGGGGGCCTGCCTTCCTACCTGTCCGGAGTGAAGACTGTGACTGACACTGTCAGGCACCCAGGCAGTTGATTCCATATGTGACCCCCAAGCCACATACCTTGCCCTGAGCCAGGAAAGGGGGGATGGCAGCAGTCTGCTGGGCACTGCAGGCTAGCTGAGGGGCCTGTTTCTAAGGGGGCAAAGCAGTCTCTCTCTCTCTCTCTCTCTCTCTCTCTCTCTCTCTCTCTCTCTCTCTCTCGCTCGCAGTGATTAGTTATAATAACCCACCCTTACTATATTGAAAATAAAACGAGAAATAGGTTTTTTTTACATTAATATCTACCTTAAATCACACTGTTAATTGCATATTGTGCTTGTTTGTAGCTTAAATACTGACATTTGTACTTAAAACTGTATTTTGTAACTTTTGGAAATGCCAGGCAAAACATGGCTGTACCAGTAAAATTTGGACGTTATGTCAATGAATTTCAATCCGGTAGGTTGGCACCACTGATTGGCCTGATGCTGCAGCTGTGCGCCGCCAGCTCTAAGACTGAAAACTAAATGATCACATGACCACTGATTGGCCTGTTGCTGCAGCTATGCGCTGCCAGCTCTAGGACTGAGAACTAAATGATCACATGACCACTAATTGCTCAGTTCAGGGCCTTCTCCAAGTAGACACCAGTGACTGTCAGTCATCACTCTCCCCTATACTCCTCCAGCTCTCATTGGAGCGCCAGGCTGGCGAGGGGATGGGTATAGCTGGAGCCAGCTATCAGTCAGGCACCTGGGTGTATCCTAACAATATAGTCAGGATCCTTCCAAAGCCTAGAGTGGCTCTGTGACAACAGCTGACAGTGGGCTTTAGCATACTATTGGCTGATTCTAGGTCACAGGAAAGCACAAGAGAAGTGTGGCCAAAAAAAGCTTTGGCCATGGGACAGCAAGCAGCAGGTATACCATTTAAATTAGATAAATAATGACACTATTAATAATAATGACACTATTAATTAATAATGACATTATTAGATAAATAATGAAATAAAATAGGCTGTGGACGTTTTATTATTGGTTTCAAATAAACATATAACAATTAAACTCTTCATGAATTTATTTAAATAACCAAAGCCTCAAATGGCTCAGCCACTATGGCTCAAGCCAAAGTAATTTAACCACTTGCCCTCCAGAGGATTTACCCCCCTTCCTGACCAGGCCATTTTTTGCGATAACAGCACTGTGTTATTTTAACTGACAATTGCGCAGTCATGCAATGCTGCATCCAAATTAAATTTATGTCCTTTTTTTTTCACATGAATTGAGCTTTCTTTTGGTGGTATTTGATCGCTTGTGTGTTTTTTATTTTTTCACTATAAAAAGAAAAGTCCAAAAATTTTGAGAAAAAAAACAATATTTTTAAATGTTTGCTATAAAACATGTCCAGTAAAATTTTAAAAAACAAATTTTGTCATAAATTTAGGCCAAAATGTATTCTGCGACATGTCTTTGCTAAAAAAAAAAAAAAAAAAAAATCCCAATATATGTAAATTAATTAGTTTACGTGAAAGTTATAGCGTTTACAAATGTATAGATACTGGGATTTATTTATTTATACTAGTAATGGCGGTGATCAGTGACTTTTAGCAGGACTGCAGCAGACGTTCTGACACTGGGGGGCACTGACTAGGTGTCACTGACATCCCCAGTGACACCAATACAACGATCAGTGCTAAAAAACAGCACTGACACTGTACTAATGGCACTGGGCAGGAAGGGGTTAACATGAGTGGTAATCAAAGGGTTAACTGAGTGCTGGGAGTGTTTTACTAGGGGGCTGTGTGTGTTTCACTGTAATCACACTGCTCTGGAAGTCATCCAGAGCAGTGTGCCTGAGCTAAACAGGGAGGAGGACTTCTAGTAAACAAAAACAGTCCTCCTTCCCGTCAGTGATCGTCGGAAATCACTGGGCGCCATTGAGTAATTACCAGCTGGGACTCGGTGACTGACAGCCGCGGCCGGGAATGGCCCCCTATCCGGAAGTACAAAATCACGTCTATATACGTTATTTTGTGCACCTCTGCTGCTCTGTAGCAGTACATCTGCTATAGGGAGGTGGGGATGCAGTTAACCACCTGCCCTCCTGAGGATTTACCCCCCTTAATGATCAGGCCTCGTTTTGCTACTCGGCACTGCACTAATTCAACTGATAATTGCGAGGTCCTGCAATGCTGTACCCAAACGAAATTTACTTTTTTTTCACACAAATAGAGCTTTCTATCGGTGGTATTTGATCACCTGTACGCTTTCTATTTTTCGCACTACAAACAAAAAAAGACCGAAAATTTTTAAGAAAAATAATATTTTTTACTTTCGGCTATAAAAAATATATAGTAAACTCAAACTCAAAGATTTTACTTTCTGACTGCCCATCATATTTCTTGAGGTGCTAAAATACCAGGATAGTACAAACATCCCCAAATGACCCCTTTTTCGGAAAAATAGACACCCTAAGCTATCTGCTGTAAGGAGGCATATTGAGTCCATGGAAGATTTATTTTTTTTCCACAAGTTTCTGGAAAATGACAAAAAACATCTTTTTTATACACAAAGTTGTCATTTAAATGATTTATTTCTCGCACAAGCCATGGGTATATGTGGAATTATACCCCAAAATACATTCTGCTAATTCTACCGAGTATGGGGATACCACATGTGTGAGACTTTTTGGGAGCCTAGCCACATACAGGAGCCTGAAATCCAATGACCACTTTGAAAGCTTAAAGGTGCGTAACTTCCTCATTTCACTTCCTCGCTACCTATCACAGTTTCGGAGGCCCTGAAATGCCAGGATAGCACCAAACTAAAAAAAATTTCAGGGCATCCAAAACAGTCCTCCTTCCCGTCAGTGATCGTCGGAAATCACTGGGCGCCATCGAGTAATTACCAGCCGGGACTCGGTGATTGACAAGTAATAAGTAATCACGAAGTGTAATGAGGAAATAAAGCCCTTTAAAAACAGCCTGAAGGTGCTTATTGGATTTTGGGGTCCTGTACTTGGTTAGACTGCCAAAACGTGGTACCCCCATACTTACAATTTTGTGTAAAAAAAAAAATAATTTTTTGTCATTTTCCAAAAACGTGGTAAAAAAATTAATTCTATTGATTCATCATGCCTCTCAGCAAATAGTTTGGGGTGCCTACTTTCCAAAAAGGGGTCTTTTTTGGGGGTGGGGGCATTTTATGCCACACATCACTCACTGTTCTAACCACCTGAAGACCAAGCCTTTTTAAATCAAACACCCTAGTGAATAAAATGGTGGGTGCTGCAATTTTTTATGTTACATAGTACTCACGCAGCAATTTTTTCAAACGCAATTTTAAAAAAAATACACTTTTTTTACTTTTAACCGTCTCCCGTCCGCCATATAAGGAAATGATGGGCGCAAGGCAGTTCTCTTGTTCTGGGAGGACGTCATATGACGTCCTCCCACTCTAACTGCACGTACGCAGCTCTGGGAGTGTGCAGCACGGTGATTGGTGGTGCGCTGTGTCCCTCGGGCACAGCGGATCACCGATCAACGGAAAGAGCCAAAGATGTCGGCTCGGTCACAGCTGATCGCATGTAAATAGGGAGATGCCGGTTATTGGCATTTCTCTTCTCACGAGCTGTCACGAGGACAGCTCATGAGGAGAGGAGATCTGGTAATCGGCATTCCTTGGAGGGTACATATACACTGATCATCGGCACTGATGATCAGTGTGCCCTGATGATCAGTGTAGCCCCAGCAGTGCTACCTGTCAGTGTCCATCAATGCCAGCTGTCAGTGCTCATCAATGCCACCTGCCAGTGCCCATCAGTGCCTCATCAATGCCACATATCAGTGCCTAACAGTGCACATCAATGTCACATATAACTGCCCATCTGAGCTGCCTTTCAGTGTCACCTATCAATTCCAGTCAGTGCCACCTATCAGTGCTGCCAATCAGTGCCAGTCAGTGCTGCCTATCAGTGCACATCAGTGCCGCCTATCAGTGTTCATCAGTGCTGCCTATCAGTGCCAACTAACAGTGCCAGTCACTGCCGTCTATCAGTGCCTGTCAGTGCAGCCTATCAGTGCTCATCACTGCAGCCTCATTAGCACACATCAGTGAAGGAGAAAAATCACTTATTTACAAAAATAAGAAAAAACTTTTTTTTTCAAAATTTTCCGTTGTTTTTGGTTTGTTTAACAAAAAATAAAAAACCCAGAGGTGATTAAATACCACCAACATCTATCTGTCTAAAAAAATTATAAAAATTTCATATGGGTACAGTGTTAAAATTGGCCTGGGCAGAAGGGGGGTATAAGTGCCCTGTAGGCAAGTGGTTAATGCACAAAACCACAATATATTGGCCAATTATTTGGTACAATGTAAAAGATGATGGTATGCCAAGTAAATAGATAACAAACATGACATGCTTTAAAACTGCGCATGCCCCGTGCAATGGCCACAAACTGCATACGTTTTTAATATCCATAGGCAAGGATTTAAAAGCCTTTACAAGCTACCATTTTAGATTTACAGAGGAGGTCCAGTGCCAGAATTACTGCCCTTGATCTGACCTTCGCAGCGATACCTTACATGCATGGTGCAACCGCTGTTTACATACCGACACAGGGTCAACACTAGCGTTAGGCGGCGCGGGTAGGGCTGTCGAATGCCTCGCGGACGCCCCCTACCGAAAATGCAAAATCTTGTGTATATATACATGATTTTGCGCAGCAGTGCCACCCTGCCGCAGTACAAGTACTGTGGCTGGTCGGCAAATAGTTAATAACTTAAAACTATTCATCATATATAAAGCATAACTTTAGCATATCCACTTAAAAATAAAGAAAACACAACCACTACAATTCAGGTTCAATAAACAGACTGTCTCCCTTTAACCATTAAAGGTGACACTACCACGTAACTGGCTGTGACATCACGGGCAGGTGGGAGGGAGCACCACAGACTATGCCTTTTGAGGCACCTGAACTGAGGGGTAACGGACCTCTCTATATAGCCTGATATCCCGCTCACAGCATCTTCTAGGGTCAAACGTTCAGCTGTTCCTAAGGTCAGGCGACCTATCAGCAGCCTTCCTGTTCACCTCACATAGTTAGGGAGGCTTGAAACTGCACTTCCGCAGTCCCATGAAGAAAGGGGAGCCTAGAGACCTTTTCCCCCCTTTTTCTTTCATGGGGCAGCAGGTATACCATTTAAACTAGATAAATAATGACACATCACACCAGGCTGGATAAAATAGGCCGCGGACGTTTAATTATTGGTTTTAATTAAATATATAGTCAAAACAGGACATAGTTAGTCTGGCTGAAAAAAGACATAAGTCCATCCAGTTCAACCACAGAAAAAAAAAGTTATAATCCTATACCCACAGTTGATTCAGAAGAAGGCAAAAAAATAACCCAGGAAAGCATGATCCAATTTGCTCCTGCTGGAAAATAATTCCTTCCTGTTCCCCCAAGAGGCAATCGGATGTTCCCTGGATCAACTTTACCTATAAATGTTAGTATCCAGTTATATTCTGTGTATCTAGGAAAGAATCCAGGCCTTTTTTGAAGCAACCCACTGAGCTGGCCAGAACCAACTCTTGAGGGAGTCTATTCCACCTTTTCACAGCTCTTACTGTGAAGAAACCTTTCCGTGTTTGGAGATTACATTTCTTTTCCTCCAGACGTAAAGAGTGCCCCCTTGTCCTCTGTGATGACCCCAGGGTGAATAGCTCTACACCGAGTTCACTATATGAACCACTGATGTATTTATACATATTGATCACATCCCCCCTTAATCTCCTCTTCTCAAGAGAGAATAAATTCAGTTCCTCTAATCTTTTCTCATAGATGATCTCCTCCATGCCTCGTACCAGTTTGGTTGCCCTTCTCTGTACTTTCTCCAGTTCCCCAATGTTCTTTTTGTGAATTGGTGCCCCAAAACTGAACTGCATATTCCAGATGAGGTATTACTAATGATTTGTACAGGGGTAATATGATATCTCTCTCTCTGGAGTCTATACCTCTTATTACAAGTGAGGATTTTGCTCGCTTTAGAAGCTTGGCATTGCATGCCATTATTAAGCTTGTGATCTACCAGAACCCCCAGATTCTTCTCCACCATTGATTCCCCCAGTTGTACCATCCCCCCCCTAGTATGTATGATGCATGCATATTCTTAGCCCCCAAGTGCATAACTTTACATTTATCAACATTAAACCTCATTTTCCACATAGTTGTCTAATTACACAGTGCATTGAGGTCGGCTTGTAAGTTGAAGACATCATGTAAGGACGTTATTCCACTGCACAGCTTGGTGTCATCTGCAAAGACTGAAATGGTATCTTTAATCCCAGATTATCGTTTATAAATATATTAAAAAGTAAGGGTCTCAACACTGAACCTTGAGGTACACCACTGATGACCCCAGACCATTCAGAATATGAATCATTAACCACTACTCCCTGAATACGAATATTTAGCCAGGTTTCTATCCATTTACATATGGATTTTTCCAAGCCCATAGACTTTACCTTACACGTTAGCCGTGTATGGGGAACTGTGTCAAACACTTTTGCAAAATCCAAGCATACCACTTCCACCGCCACCCCTCTGTCCAAGGTTTTGCTCACCCTCTTATAAAAAGAAATCAGATTTGTTTGCCAACTTCTGTCTTTCATGAATCCATGCTGTCTGTTGCTTAACATATTTTTTTCCAGCAAGAACTCATCTATGTGGTCTTTTATTAAACTCTCCAGTATCTTCCCAACTATAGAAGTTAAACTAACAGGTCTGCAATTACTTGGTAAAGATTTTGACCCCTTTTTAAAATATTGGCACCACATTGGGCTTACGCCAATATACTAATTAAACTCTTCATAAATGTATTTAAATAACCAAAGCTTCAAATGGCTCAGCCACTGTGGCTTAAGCCAAAGTAATTCAAAATAAAATCTCCAAAAGACAGATGGTGAAACCACCTGTCACCCCCGCACCTCGGCCATTTCAATACAGGTATGTAGACCTGCATTGAATATATCCAGCCCAATGTCAGAAAGGCGGACTCCATCATCCCTATAAAGACCATGGAGTGCACCCTCTAAGGCAGTGGTTCTCAACCTTCCTAATGCCACGACCCTTTAAAACAGTTCCTCATGTTGTGGTGACCCCCCCAACCATAAAATTATTTTCGTTACATAACTGTAATTTTGCAGTGGGAGGAGTAGTGCCAAATCATTGGTGTCAGTGAGAGGAGTAGTGCCACATCACTGATGTCAGTGGGAGGAATAGTGTCCCATCGTTGGTATCAGTGGGAGGAATAGTGTCCCATCATTGGTATCAGTGGGAGGAATAGTGTCCCATCATTGGTATCAGTGGGAGGAATAGTGCCACATCATTGGTGTCAGTGGGAGGAGTAGTGCCACATCACTGATGTCAGTGGGAGGAATAGTGTCCCATCGTTGGTATCAGTGGGAGGAATAGTGTCCCATCATTGGTATCAGTGGGAGCAATAGTGTCCCATCATTGGTATCAGTGGGAGGAATAGTGACCCATCGTTGGTATCAGTGGGAGGAATAGTGTCCCATCATTGGTATCAGTGGGAGGAATAGTGCCACATCATTGGTGTCAGTGGGAGGAGTAGTGCCACATCACTGATGTCAGTGGGAGGAATAGTGTCCCATCGTTGGTATCAGTGGGAGGAATAGTGTCCCATCATTGGTATCAGTGGGAGGAATAGTGCCCCATCATTGGTGTCAGTCGGGGGAGGGGAATAGTGCCCCATCATTGATGTCAGTGTGGGGGGGGGAAGTGCCCCATCATTAGTGTCAGTGGGGGGAATAGTGCCCCATCATTGGTGTCAGTGGGGTAGGGGGATAGTGCCCCATGGTTGGTGTCAGCGGGGGGAGAAATAGTGACCCATCGTTGGTGTCAGTGGGGGGAGGAATAGTGCCCCATCGTTGGTGTCAGTGGGGGGAGGAATAGTGCCCCATCGTTGGTGTCAGTGGGGGGAGAAATAGTGCCCCATTGTTGGTGTCAGTGGGGGAGGAATAGTGTCCCATCGTTGGTATCAGTGGGAGGAATAGTGTCCCATCATTGGTATCAGTGGGAGGAATAGTGCCACATCATTGGTGTCAGTGGGAGGAATAATGCCCCGTCATTGGTATCAGTGGGAGGAATAGTGCCCCATCATTGGTGTCAGTGGGGGGGGGAATAGTGCCCCATCATTGATGTCAGTGTGGGGGGGGAAGTGCCCTATCATTAGTGTCAGTGGGGGAGGAATAGTGCCCCATCATTAGTGTCAGTGGGGTAGGGGGATAGTGTCCCATCGTTGGTATCAGTGGGGGGAGAAATAGTGCCCCATCTTTGGTGTCAGTGGGGGGAGGAATAGTGCCCCATCATTGGTGTCAGTGGGGGGAGGAATAGTGCCCCATCGTTGGTGTCAGTGGGGGGAGGAATAGTGCCCCATCGTTGGTGTCAGTGGGGGGGGGGGAAATAGTGCCCCATCGTTGGTGTCAAGTGGGAGGAATAGTGCCCCATCATTGGTATTAGTGACACCAATGATGGGGCACTATTCCTCCCACTGACACCAATGATACTTACCTTGCTGACCCCTGCTCCAGCCTGGGCTCGCTCCCTCCCTCTCCCATCTACAGCCAACATACCTGGCTGCAGCAGCACCATCTGCATGGTACAGACACTTACCGATCAGCTGTCTTCCTTCTCCAGCAGCTCCCTCACTCGATCTTCTTTAATTTTCGCGCTGCTGCTCGGCTCCTCCTCTCCAAGCTCCACCTCCTCGCCGGTGATTGGCAACCTGTGTGCCTCTCCTGAGCTACAGTTCCTACAGTGGCCAATCACCGGCGAGAAGGTAGAGCTGTTGAGTGATCCCGGGGGTGTGGCCAGGTGACAGGGGTGGCATGTCATCCTGCCCACACATCGCGGTCCAGGGAAATGTGGGCGTATCTGCATGTGAGCAGACTCGCCTGGAGACGGATAGAGGAGCGGTGTCTCGGTTCCTAAGACCATTGGAAATATGTGTTTTATGATGATCTTAGGCGACCCCTGTGAAAGGGTTGTTCGACCCCCAAA